TTCGCAGCAGAAAGCGAGCGTAAGCGAGCATTTGATGCTTGTATGAAAAGGAAATATTAAACAATAATGAGAAGATATCACCTTTCGAATCGTCGACGCCCTTTGATTAATTATTAGGTTGCGCCGCTCACGTACAACGTACGTTATTCAGCTGGCTGCATCTTCGCGGGCCGGCCGGCGGCCTGCTAGTAGTACCAGGTCGGTCAGGTCTCCTCAGCTCAGGTTGAAATAAACTTTTAACTAATATTTTCGGTCTGCCTCGCGTTCGAACCGACGCCGCCGACGACCCTGTTTTCTCTTCATGATTTTTCTGAGGAACGAGCGAGCACCGGCAAACTCGGGGCGCGAGCTTTAACTCCGGCGAAGCTAATCGACCTTGGCTAATTTAACTTCTTGATTCAGGCGGTGATGATCGTCGAAACTTGGGAACCCAGGTTACCCTAGGACGTATCTTGGACACTGAATAAAAATATTGTTGTTCTTTTCATCTAGAGGGCTGAACATCTCAATGCCCGGTGGGTTGAAGAACAAATCTTACTATCAGCCATACAGTGAAGCAGAGGGAAAGAAACCGTTCAATCCAGACTGATATAGTTATTGATTGGTACGCTGATGACAGCAAGAGTTTCTTCTCCTAACCGCCCCTTTCAACTCTTCTAGCCGCGTTTTAGTGTAACCCACATATGTGCCTTGATGTACGGAGTAGAAAAAGGTTGAATAAATGCCGCTCGATACGCCAACACAGCTAAGTGCATTCAATGCTTTCACTTTTACTGACAGCCTACGGAGTACAGTGGAGACAAAAGTGACCTACTTGCGCTAGCTAGGGTTCTAATGGTTCGCTGCGGTTCAGGTTAAAATGAAGTCTTGCCATCACACTTAGACAGGATGAAGAAAACCATTCACTTGCCACTTATGTCAATGGTGCGAGGGTGTGGTACGTAGCATACTGCTATTCAAACGTACCCTGCTCGAGTAAGGAAAAAAGAAAACAAAAAAACACTGACAGCTCAGAACATAATAAAGTAGGGTATAAAAGGGAAGAGAAAAGTAAAAGAAAAAAGATAAGACGGGGGGGTTCATTCTATTCAAATATCAAGTTTGGTTGATTGAGAACAAGCAAGCCTCTGACAAATTAGAAATGAAACACTGGAAAACCCTTCCCATCCATCCATCCCTCCTTCAAAATACAAAATATAGCAGGAGAACACATGTTTTTCCTCCAAAAAAAAAAAAAAAAAATAAAAAAAAAAATCATATCTCATCCATCCCTCTCACTTTGGCCTTCCAGCTCCGATCCACCAATGCCGTCCGCACATGCTCCACAATCTCCTGTCGGCGTTTATTCTTAGCCATCCACCGATGCGTGTCTTCCTCTGCCCCAAGTACTAAATCACCAGGCCCGCTAACATTCTGCAGCGAGCTCTTCTTCCCAGCACTGCTAAGCAAACTAGACCGGAAATGTACATGAGCCCTCGTAGCAGACTCAGGGGTATGGTACGCGCTCCTCGCTCCAACTGCGCCGTCCACGGAACCCCGCGAGCCGGGCGTGACGGGTAGCTTGGAAAGCCCCCGCTGTCCCCGCGGCGGCGTGAGGAATGGTGAAGCTTCACGGCTTTTGGATCTCGCAGAACCTGGGCCCGCTCCACGACCACTTGCGGCGGAGACGTCAATGCCAAGCCTCCGAAGTTGAGCTTCGAGAACGTCAATGTCACCGCTTTTCTTCTCGGCCATGTTGGTCATGGTCGCGATGGTTGATGTGACAGCTTCGACGGTAGGTCGTGCCATGGACCTGCGTCTGGCGGAGCCGTTGATGCTCGTACCGTCGGAATCTGGTTTGGCGGAATCGGCGATCTTGGCGCGGATGATGGAAATCTCTCTCTCTAGATTGGCCATTTTCGATTGTACCGCCGTGGAAGCTTGTCGCAAATCTTGTTGCAACATGGCCTGGTCGGCTGAGAGGGGCGCTGAAACGATGGCCACAGTGTCGACGTGAGCGTCAATAGTTCGTCGTAGGCTCGCGCACTGGCCGCGTAGAGTCACGAGATCTTTGCTGAAGAGCCGTTGGCAGGTTTCCAATGATTCTTCGACTTTTTGCAATTGCTGTTGCTGTAGTGAGGTATCTAATGCCTTGATACCTGCCTCCAGTTTGTCGACCTCGGATAAAAGGAGCTGCTCTTCTAAAATATGACTTGGCTGCTCACTTTGCAGAATGGTTAGCCAGTCTTCGTAATTGGATTCTTTAGCTGTGCGTTGATATAGCAAGAACGCCGATAGAGATCTTGAATTGATCCCTAGGGTGTCAATCATCGAGTTGATATCGCGGTATAACCGCTCAATTTGCCCGGGTATTCCAGGCTTCAAACTTTTTCCTGTGTAATCCTGATGTGAAAGGAAGGGATCCAACGTGGGTGCTGGGGATAGAGGTCGCGCTAGATCAGCCCGGAGTTGCTCATCCTCGTCATCCTCGCTCAGTGGTTGAGATTCAGCCGCTAACCGCTGGGCTTGGCGGCTAAGATCTTCCGTTTGGTCTTCATCATCTGCTGGTGGCGTGATTTGTTTCGATAGCATAGAACTCTCGAGAGTCACTTTTCTTTGAGCCAAAGCACGACCAGGTGCGCTAGGTGCGCTAGTAGATCGCAAGCCATCTCTTGCTAAGGATTGCCCTAGGAGAGCCCGACGGACTGGGCTCGGTGACCTTGGCGCTAAACGTATGCGGCCATCTGGTAGCCCAGGTGCGGGGAAAATCGGTTGTGTAATTTCTCCGAAAAGTTGCCTTGATTCCTTTGGCTGCTGGACCGATGACGGAGTCTTTGTGAACACAGAACTACCCGGACTTCCCAGAATAGGCCCACCAAATGAGCTTTCAGGCGACGTCTTAAGACTTTGAACGCGCTGTTCGGCGGGCTCTTCTACGGGACTAAATTCACCAGCCACTTCTTCTCCGCTATCTTCAAAATCCGCTGATTCCTCTTGATCAGATTCTGCAGGCAACGCAACTGCAACTTCTTTCAAAGTCTCTGCCTTCATTGAAGAGATGAAATCCGGTGGCAATGGTGCTTCCTCATACGAAACTTTGGATACGTTCGATGAAGAAGCTGATGTATCTCCAGGGGCGTAAGTGGCTCTGCTTGTTGGATCCGGGGGGAGGGGGGGCTCAGCCAATTTTGGCATTGGTGCCTCCTCCTGGTCACTAGGTAGTTCGACTTTGACTGTAGATTCCGATAGGCTACTTTCATCTGGTAATGAAGGAGGCGGTAGTGAGGACTGTTCAGGGGCCTTAGGTGGTGCGATAGAGGCCGGAAGTTTTCCAAAGAGCGATGTTGAATCCTTCGCTGGAGCGAGCGGCGAAGGTTTCAATGGCTGCGTCGCACCAAACAAATTTGTGGGAGTTGGTAGACCTCTTAGAGGTTTTTGAGCTTCTGGGATAGATGGTTCGGGAGGAGGGGGAGGAGGAGGAGGGGAGGCGATGGTAGGTAAAGATAGCGGAGGAGAAGTTGTAGGCTGGACAACGGGCTCTTTCTCAGTGGCCTGATCGAAGTTCATCAAACCCGCAAAAGAAAATGCCCCCTTTGTTTCCTCTGGCTTATCTTCATCCATGGTGGTCGTCGTGTCTGGCTTGAATCCAGAACGCTGATCGAATGCTCCGAAAGGGGATGGCTGCGTCGAAGCGGGGGCAGGCGATGATACAGTGTTCACAGAACCAAAAAGCGGCTGTCCAGCTTTCGCAAATGGGCTATCACCAGCAGGAGGTTTTCCGAAAATGCTCCCTCCGGAAGGCTGAGTAGCTTTAACAGTAGCAAAACTGTCACCAGCAGCTGCAAATGAGCCGAACCCTCCACCGGAACCACTAACTGGTTTTCTGGAGAATTTACTCGTATCTGTACCTGCATCGCCAGAAGTACCGCTAAACGCGCCAAACCCGGACCCAAATGGAGATGTAGTGGTTGTTTTACCCACGAGAGGTGGCTGACCGAACGGAGAGGATCTCTGACCCAACAAGCTTGGACTGCCAAATGAAGGAGTGAGTGAGATAAAACCACCAGTTGGCTGGCTGGGTGATTGAGACTGGGTAAATCCCTGTGTACCCCAAGAAGTTTGTGAACCAAGCGCAGACGGGGTCCCGAAAGGAGGCGGTCGATTGGCCCCTGGCCCCGAGGGAGACCCAAATGGAGACGTTGACGATAGTCCGAAAGCAGATTGTCCGAGCAAGGACTGTCCGAAAGGGGATTGCCCAAAAGCTGGCTTGGGTGTTTGAGGGCCTAACATCGACGAGCCTAAAGCGGTCTGCTGTGGTTGTGCTTGTTGTACCGGTTGTCCACCCCCAGCTGCGACAAGATCATGATATGGCACGCGCTGTCGAACCGACTCGGAATACACAAACCACCAGGACGACAATACCCCATCATTATTGAGAACGAGAATCATGGGTAGAGGAGTTCCAGAATCCTGAATATCTTCTCCAGGAATGGGAGAGGAAACAGTATCTTTACTCGACAAGTCAATTGCAAGCCCAACAGGGGAAGTATTTTCCGAATCATCTGTTAGGGGAAGTTCGGCTCTCCTTGAATCTTCGGACATTGTCGTAACAGTGAATGCATCAGTGACGGGTGTACCCCCTTCCTCGGCTAGTGGTTTGCTAGATTTCGTAAAGAGGCCTATATCTGTTGAAGCGGTCGAAGAGACAATCAATACATCTTTGAGATCGGGCTTAAAATCTCTCAAACGGCAGATAAATTGGTAGGCGGGGTTCCGCTCAAGGCCCCAAGGTGGGCAGACCTCCGGAAGCTTTTGGAATGTATAATTATCTGGTGGTTGGCGATTTATAATGTAGTATGTTGATTCCGGTTGACTTTCGGGTGAAGACGTTGGGGTATAAACAATTAAAAAGACATTATTCTCGAGCCACGAAATAGAAGACACTATTTAACGCAGTTTTGTTAATAATTCCGGCCATGCTTAGAATCATAAGAGGAAGCATAAGAGGAAGTGTGTACTGACCATGCTTATCCCCATCCAAATCTGGAGGTCGAGGGATCTCCGCCTTCAGTTCCCCTTCAGGAGTCATTTGAGATGCAGTTCCATTCCCCAATCCAGCCACTAATTGCTTCCCCCGGTTACTCCATGAAACACAGCTCACACCGGCTTTTAAAACAGGGCCCGAGGGGCCTTGAACCAGCTGATTAGTTTGCAAATTTGCCATCAACAGCTCGCCATCCGTAGTTACAGCGGCAAACAATTCTGCAAGCGCGGGGTTTGGAGCCAGAGCTCGGAGCCTGGCACCATTCAAAGCAAGAGTAAGGGCTGATTGTGAGTTGCCTTGCATCAACGCCGCTACTTCGTATGCAATCAAGCCACTGCCATCTGCAGCAGCTACAACAAGTACATTCTCATCTGCGGAGAATGCCACATGCGACACTTTTTGTGGGAGCGAAATTTGTAGTTGCGGTTGAAAGGGCCTAATATTACTGTCTCCAGTCGCATCGGCGGTATAAGCCTTTCTGACAGCATCTGTGCTTGCTACTACAAGACCTTCAGGCCCAGCAGCCGCGAGCAGGCCTTTTACAGATGCTACGCTCAACAAAGAGCAAGTGGGGGGAGGAAGAGCGTCGTTTGGCCATGGCGTGGGGAGAAGTCTGACTTTCGAGTCTCCAGCGATGGAGAGGAAGCCAACTTCCTATTTAACATTGGTATGTCAGCTACACTGCCCCACAAAATAATAATAATAATAATAATAATAATAAATAGAAAAAAGAACAAAAAGGTAAAAGGAAGGTAAATCTTAGGTACACCATACCTGAGTCTGGATTTCCTGTAGCTCAGGGCCGAGTTGAACGTTTCCCGCCTGGGTGCTGCCAAAGCCTGCGGCTGGCTGAGAGGAGGAAAAGGCCATTTTCAAGATTTCGAAGTCGGAGGAGACTGCGCGGTGTTTAGAGTCTAATGAATACCTGGGCTTTGGGGCATTGAGAGCGGGTGTTTGGGCAGCACGGAGATTTGCAAAGGAGCGTCGATGGAGTGCACCAGGACTCCTGTTAAAGAGCTGGAGAGTTGGTCCGAAAATCTTGCTGGCGCGCTCCCAGAGGAGGGGAAAAAAGAAGAAGAGAAGCTGAGTGAGAGGGACAAGGCATTCAGACCATAGCCAGTCTCACGCCTGGTGGGAGAGAAGAGGCGCAAGAAGATATTTATCTATCCAGCAACTAGCAACCAGAGTTAATGTTTTTTGTTTGATGTTTGGCGGTTGACGCTGATTGGGCACGTGAAGGTCTCGGCGCAGGCAGCTCTAGCTTCGTCACTTCAACATCGACGCCGCATCACATCTCTGTTCAACGATACCCAACTATACCCCTAGCTACCAGCTCTCAACTCAGTCTTGTGCCTATTTATTCTACCTGGCTTGCTGGAGATACTCTGCTGCGATAACCTTTGCTTTCCGTATTTTATCCCTCTAAAACAGAACCGCCAGATACCTGCTGCCGCTGCCGGTTGAGCCTCCAACCTCACCATGCCAGGCTTCGATTTCTCCAATTACAACCGGAATGCAGCTCTCCATGCAAAGGGCGTGCCTCTTCCAAAGGCTACGAGCACAGGTACTACTATTGTTGGATGCATCTTTGATGGTGGTGTGGTGGTAAGCCTGTCCAAAATCATCAATGCGTCAACTATTCTACTACAAAACACCCGCTGATTCCTCCATACAGATTGCAGCTGATACACGAGCTACTAGCGGTCCCATCGTTGCTGACAAGGTATTTATCGATTTCGATTTTATACAAGAATCCCTGAATGATCTCTTTACCTGCCTACCACACTTCCCTTACGTGTCAAAAACTTCCGAACCAGCCTGGTATTACCACCTGCTAAATCAAATCTAGAACTGTGAAAAACTCCACTACATCAGCCCGAAAATCTGGTGTGCTGGCGCCGGTACAGCGGCAGATACCGAATTCACCACCGCCCTCATCAGCTCCAATCTCGAACTCCATGCTCTCTCCACAGGCCGGGCCCCGCGCGTCGTCACCTGCATGACCATGCTCAAACAGCACCTATTCCGACACCAGGGCTACATTGGCGCTTATCTCGTCGTCGCCGGCGTTGATCCTACTGGTGTCGGCCTCTTCACCGTCCACGCCCACGGTTCCACTGACAAATTGCCCTACGTGACGATGGGCTCCGGTTCCCTCGCAGCCATGTCTGTGTTTGAAACGATGTGGAGGCCGTCGCTGAACAGGGATGACGCCGTGAAACTGTGTTCGGAGGCGATTAAGGCGGGTATTTTTAACGACTTGGGCTCTGGAAGTAATGTGGATGTGTGCGTAATCTACCAGGATAAGCCGACACAGCTGTTGAGGAATTACATTAAACCCAACGAGAGGGGCCAGAAGGAGAGGACTTATCGGTTCGCTAAGGGGACGACGGCATGGTTGGATGAGAAGGTTATTACTAAGGCAGATATCGGGAGATATATTACCGTGGAGGATCTTGGGAGTGAAGGGACTGTTGTTGCTGAGAAGATGGAGGTGGATTCTTAATCGTACCCTTGGTTCTATATGATTTTTTTTAAACCTCACAGCGCTGTTAGTCTCTTTTTATATGTTATTCCTAGACGAAGATGCTCTTCTTTTTTATATTCGGGTTGCGTGTTTACAGGGTTGATTTTTGCCCAGTTTTATTCGCCTACGTGGTAGGTGTTTGATGTAAAGTGGCGGAAAATTCCACATAGACGAGTGTGTATGTCAACATCCAACTGTAAAATATAATTGCTGCCTCTCTATGGAATGTAGCCATAAATCTACCTAGGTTGATCCGCTCCGGGAACTTATACAACTCAAATACCCACTCATGCTCAGGCCAGTTCCGCATCCAAAAGCGCATTTGCAACAGCAGTGCCTTCTGCCTCTTTAATCTTCTGCATAATAAACGCATATTTACGTTTCGGCACCGGTTTACCCGCTTCACGGTACCGCGTAACGCCAGCCTGGAAAAGTGCTCGAGTTAATATGGGTGACACAGGTCCATGATGCTGGACGATGAACAAATACACCCATTGAGTCAATCGCCAGGATGTCGTGGGCGTCACTGTCGTTGTGCAAGAAAACACGAGTGCGAGGATATGTAACATGCGCAGACATTCGATGGGGTTTGGGTATAAACAGGGATCTGGTGGCGACGTTCCAGGTTCTGCTACAGCATATGTCACTGCCGGTTGCTGCCAGCAGCGAGACAGAGCGACTTTTAACGGAGTGTGGCGCCGGAGGAGGCGCAGGACGGCGCTGCGCGGGATCGCGCCAGCTTCTGTGAAGCTGATGATTTGGTGGATAAAGGAAGGAGAGGTAACGTCTGTGATTTTTGCTAGTCGATCAAATGTTGAATATATCGCTCCGCGGTTCCGGGTGTACATGGAGAAGTAGGGGAGGATTTCTTTGATTGTTTTAGGGCTGTGGGTGGGATCAAGGAGTTTTGCTTTTATGGCCGGGTCGAGGGAGCTGGGCCCACCGGTATGTCCGCTTTGTTTGCTCCAATAAAACTGCTTTCGTGCTTTTGCGAACTCTATATCGGCAGCGTTTGACAGCACAAGGTCCGTCGCAGGCAAATCGCGTAGACGAGAGTCTTGGAGGTATATCCGCAGCCGGGTTAGAATATCCGTGCCTCTGAATGCGCCTAACGTTCGATCAAGGGAAGATAAAAGGCGACGAAATACACTCCGACGTCGGAAATCTAGTATTGTATAGCTGGCGGAGGCGTGTCCCAGAACAGCTACGACCCACATCTCAAGCAAACGCTTAAGTCGATTTGGTGTGTTTAAGCCATTGTTTTCCAAAGGCGGTGACGCCAAACTCGAAGCGGAATCAAAGTTACTCCTCGAAGTAGCAGAGAATAACACTAAATCATTGTCTAGACGGGAGAGTGTCCAGTGCCAGATATAAAGCGATTGGGCACTCCACTTGTTATATACTGGCGAAAATACTAACAGTTCGGTTATTCTTAAAATGTGCGTGACCGCAGATTCGGGAGAACATGAATCGAGGAGTGCCTTGGTATAAGAGAGGATTTCGTGTAGGGCGTCATTTGGAATGTCTTTTATCGTTGATTTTGGCGCAGAGGCTGCCATGAGGATAACGCGCCGAAGAAGAACATCCGCCAATAAATTCGAACCAGAGGTCCCAGGGCCGTCTAACGTATGGATAACATTCATACCAAGTTGCGAAAGTCTACCTGGCGGTGACGCTTTTAAGATCTCTTCTACCCACAATGCCATTGTTTCCCTGCCAATATCAGACGGAGTTAATACAGGAGACGACTTGAGCCCATCCCAAATAGCCTGATAGCATGAAGCAACATCGCCTGAGTTGGCTTTCCCAATGGTACTTTTGCCGTGTTCCCGAGTTTTGGTTTTGATCGACGGTATAAGCTTAATTATTTTACAAATCTCCTCCACAGGGACAAGACCAAGCATGATGGAACGCTTTAGGAATCGAAAGTGAGCGTATAGCCTAGTCTTCCTCTCTGTATGCATGACACAGTGTTCGACCAGGGTAACGTAATTCTCAGCTGCAGGAACATTCAGGAAAGGGTCACTGAAGAAGTCATATAGGTCATCAATATCCCATCTCCTGGATCGACCGATGCGGTTCTGAACCAGAAGGATCTCGGAAAGAGCTGTTCGACTGACGAGAGGTCGTTCTCGCAGGTCAAGCCCTAAAACAGTAATGTGTTGTCTGAATTCATCTAACGAAGCTGACCGCCACGCCGACGAGGACAAGTGCTTCTTAAGAAAATCATAACTTGGAGTAGAAGTAGGAACGGAAATATCAGGAATCGAGTCGAATTGTGAGGTTTGCGCATTGTCGGCTCCCCATGGGTGGGGAACGGGAGGCGCGTCATTGTACAGATATGGAAAAGCCTCTGCACGTTAGATTAGTTTATAGGCGTATGACATCTATTATTCCTTCTGTTAGCCAACATACCTTGCGCTTGCAGAGACCACGGATTGGCCTCAATGGGATGCACGTCCGAGTTCTGTTGTGCTGGCTTCCCAAACAGAATCGCGGGATCTACCGCCGGTGAGGAAGATCCCATGAGGGCCAAAGCGGCGTGCCTCCGCCTCGAGTGTCGTTTTTGAGCCTCGAGAGGGCCGGGGACAGAGCTGCCATATCTTTTGTGGTGTCTTGTAAACCGGGAGAAGCCTTCATTAACGAGTTCGTCGCTAATCCAAATGTGATCGGGCCTGGCAGTACCGTGCTGCTGAAGAGCCTGGTAGAGCCTATGCCGACATCGAGACATGCGGATGCAGAGTATGAGCTGTCATAAAGCAATTGGCTTCTTCCAAGGCCAATTGGTTCCGTCGTGCGTGATGGAAGTGAGGTTTGATGCTGTCTCTGCCTGTCGTTGTCGTTCTCAACGATGATTTTGAGCTCGTGCTTGGCATGCTGACTCAGCTAGATATTGTCACAATAGAAATAGCAGACACGAAGTAGATTACTACGTATGTACATTGTACTGTACTCCGTACAAGTATAGCTCATGAATAGAGATCCCACAAGTTAGTTAACGCTTAGCCGCTAATGACTCTTTATTGGCATAAGTCTACACATAACTAACTCGACAGCTCTTCCTAAACCAGAAAGTGCTTGAGGAATCTACCCCAAACTATCGCTTCGTCTTTTATTCCAACTGCAATAAATAGGCCACAGAACCCTGGCCGCGCCGTCCTCAAAGCCAATGGGACATCCGTCCTCCTGCCGGAACTCCGATGCAGCGCTCATATAGCCTGTGTCAACAGTATTAATGGCAATACGGTGCTTGATCCAGATCTGGGGTAGTATCTGGAGTCTCTGTGGATGACTTTAACGGAGTTTTGCGCCCCATACTCGTAAGGGGTAGTAGCTCACGACAGAGAATAAGAGGAACGAACGCATTAACAGAGTGCGCGCTTATCATGTCTTCGTAAGGGATTTCTTGTAGTATTTGTGTCTAAGAGGATTTACCACCAGTCTCTTCCTCAACTATGTCTCTGCTAGGGCCTTTCTGTGGAGGTTGTGCTGCTTCGGTAGCATATGTCTCGCCCCTAGTGCACCTTCGTGTAAAAACTGACTGTCCTTCAAGTCTAGCTGACCACGAAAGCCCCATACCTCCCCTTATCCTTGCTTCGTACCTACTGAGAGTCAATGGCCCCCAAGCACGGAAATAATTATTGTCGGCAGACGGCCCATTCACTGTTTATTGAGCGCCTCTTAGAATTGGTGAATAATTTCTAATTTTGTACATTTTAATCTACAACTGATTGATACCCAAAAATTTACACCGCTTATTCTGGCCCTTGTTCCAGAATCTAAAATATAGGACGACCTAGACCTCAGACATGATAGATGGATACGCGGTGAGGAGGAGCACAGGTACGAGGCCCCGTTGTATAGTACCTGTGATGTAATCCCGCTACCACCATAGGAGCATATGTGTTCGGTGGGCGGCGAACTTCAGTCGATGCCACAGCGTTGGTTTGCTCTTGTATACGAGTATACAAAGCGTGTTTTCCATGAGAACGAGGTACAATGCCCCGTTTCGCTGATTAGGCGGGCTGTCCTCGTCTGTCCGTGTTCGAATAGGCTGGTGAGGAGGAGGCAGCGGAGTTGCCCGGTGTATATGGTAGGAGAGGGTAGTACCAAGGTCTGTGAGGATATCGGATCAAAGGAAGCAAAATATATGTGCATATGTATATATATATGGCATAGCCAACACGGAAACTAAATTTAAATATCTGCTCACATATCTGAACGACTCTGTCCAAGGCCCCACAATCCAACTTCAAGCATGGCGTCTTCACCACCCTCGGCCAGTTTCCCATTCACGTTCGCTGGGTGTTGATCACCGAGAACACCAGCGACACATCGCCACCCATCCCTTCCTCCACCCCATCGCAAAACCTCGTTTTTGAATTTTTCTCCTGCCTCTCGGTCGGTCGCCAGCTTTCCTTCTTGGAAGGTTTCAGACCACAGCTTGCTGGCGATGGCACGGTCAAAAAGATAACTGTAGTAGCTGGCGCCGTAGTGGAAAAGGTGGCCAAAGTAACCTTGCCAAGTTGTCTGGGAGTCGACGGGGTCGAAGATTGTGGCATGTTGTGAGTAAAGGGCGTGGAAGATTTGAGTGGTATCGAAACCTGGCTGGAGCGGGCTGGCGTCGTGATAAGCTTGGTCTAGTAGGGCCATCATTATCTGCGCTTCGTTGTCCATGGCACCTTGTATACTCTCATAATTCTCGTGATTTAGGCGCATGGTTTGGATCATGTCTTCAGGAAGGGGCTTGTTGGTCTCCCAATGGCGGGCATAGAGCGAGAGCACTTCCGGGGCCATGGCGAAGCTTTCCATAATGACGGATGGGAGTTCGACGAAATCCGTTGCGCAGCGAGTGCCGGAGATGGTTTGGAAATCAGTACGGGCCAGCACAGAGTGGATGGCGTGACCCATTTCATGAAACAGGGTTTGGACGCTGTGTTTCGAGAGGAGCGAAGGCTCAGAGCCGCTGGGGGAGGGGTTCGAGAAGTCGCAAATTAGTGCGATTGTTGGGAGCTGATAGAGAGTATTTGTTCCTGGTCGTATAGCCGTGGCCATGCCATCGTTGGGATGTATATCAGCCGACATTGCCGCTTCTGAAATCTCTTCGGCAGATATCGCGCGAGAGCACCGGAGAGTGAAGTGGGTTGGGTTCGGGCTCTTGCCCGGTCTTGAAAAAAGATCACAATAAATGACTGCAAGATGGTTATTGGATTCGTCTAGGACATCTAAGCGTCGAACATCTGGGTTCCAAGTCTCTCCAGGAGACGTTTCCTTTGGAACGAGACGGACGCCATAGAGTCTGGCAAAAAGCCGAGAGAGCCCCTGCATAACAGTCCCCAATGAAAAGAATGTGGCGAATAGGCTGATCGCGCGCGATTTCCTGGAGACGTCATGCCTCGCAGCATATTTCTCAACGTAGTAGGAATGGTCCCAGGGAGAAAATGGGGGCTTGTCCCCTTTTAACGCTGTATAATCCTCCATTTTTATCGCATCCAATTTCCCAATCTCTTTCTGGGTGAGCTCGCGATTTTTAGAATTCAAGGCCAAGAGAAATTTCTTAACAGCCTCTGGGCTTTTGGCCATTTTGTCACTCATCGCCATGTGAGCGTAGCTTGGGTAACCAGTCAATTGAGCTAACTCAGCTCTCAATTCTAGCAGCCGCGTCAAACGGTGGATTTGCGCGTTCGAGCTCTTCCGAGATGTAAGATAGATCTGCTTTCTAGTATTCTCGTCGTGAACAGATTTTAAAGCTATATTCGGCACCATGCCATCGATTGGGATTTGGACGTTTGACCACCTACGCAACTTCTCCAAGAGTGTAGGATCCATCCCTCGTAGGTTATTTTTGTCGAAAGATAACCTGCCAACTTTGGGTTCCATGCCGTGCACAAACCTAAAGCCCGCATCACTGATACTATTACATAGCTCGACGAACCGTTTTTTCTTCTCCGGGGGTAGATGGATACCAGATTTCGTAAAATCCCTAATTAGCATCTCGGCCGTGACCTTCTCCTCTTGGCTCCACTGGGAGGATATTTCAGGGTCCGACAAAGCCCGGTTGAGTATATCATTAAGACGAGTTTCGGTATTCAGAACGTTCATATATTCGAATATGATTGAGTATGCCTGTGTCGCGGCATCTTGAATGGCGGGATCCGGGTGGTTTGACCGCATAAAATCGGCCATATCTATCACCCGACAAAGTAAGTCGCTGAGGCGGTCAAGATCCCTTGCCACCCTCTTATGTCCATCAAGGGTTGATACCTCAAGTACCTTGGCCATAATTTCCTGGCATTTCTGCAGCGAAACGGAGGCAAACTTCAAGAAACCTTCCGGGGATTTGAGGTATTGATTTTGCAACAGCCCTGACGAAGAGCCGCCCTTCCGACGCGAGAATTCCCGCCAGAACGGCTGCGAATCAAATATCATACGTAGGGTATTATCATCGTGGCGCTTCGCGGCTTCGTTGCCAGCAACGGTATAATCCTGCACGTCTTTTATGATACCTGAGGCGGCATTGTTGTGGATGCGGCGGTTGGGATGTACGCGATGCTGCTGTAACACGCATCGTCGACAGGTCCATGGCCGCCGCCGGAAGATCTTAAGCATCTTCCGAGAGCGGTATCACCAGCTTGTCAAAAGGAAATAGAACAATGCGGGCGAGGACAAGGTGGGATGCTGGAAGGGGGACGTTGTCAAGCAAAGAGGTTTTGGGGTCAATATTGATTTTCTGTTGTCTTTCATGTTCCCGGAATCAGGCGATCGCCAGTTCGGGCCGGGACCGGGACGGGGAACTTTTTTCCTGCAACGTCAGTCCACCAACATCCATCAATATTGGGCTTCGCCTTTTGCTTCCACGCATTGTTGAATGCCAATTGGACAGCAATCTTCGTTTTCTGCCGCATATTCCTTGCGTCTACTATTTCTAGCAGGTATGCGTATGCGCACTTCACCAAATCTACTACAAATCTAATCGATTGACAGAGGCTGCCATCGGAGCAGGTGCTCTTTCATTGCGTGCGACCTGATTTCATCCCAGGTGACATTGGACAAAAATGGTGCGGCTTCCCCCAAGGAGACAAATGGATATACATCATTGGGAGAGGATGGGATATTAAACTAACCCTATCTTCAGTCGCACCGCAAACCCATCTACGAAGATGAACCCTCCGCAGTTCCGGCGGAAGCGCCCCAATCCCAGCTTCAAGAGAGAGATACACAACAGCCAGCCTTTTCCACCAAGACGCTTCAAAGAGCATCTTCCACCTCTACGGCAGACATGTTATCCCAGCAAGTCCGCCAGGTCCGTCTCTTCCTGTACGCACACACTCTCGCCGCCGAAAACAGCTTCAACGACGCCCTTGCCAGCGTCTTCCGCGCTGAAAGCCGCTTCACCAACACGATAGCCTCCTTGGCTCCTCCACGTGAATCCGGCGAGCGCCTGCTACCGGGAAGCATTTACGTTCTTGTATCCGCCATGGCTGGGTCAATTATCTCGCGAAACCGTGGGATATTCTTAAGAGCAACAACCCCGCTGGCGGTAGGCACTGTGGCAGCCTGGACGCTTCTTCCCGTCACAATGCAGAATGTGTCGGATCTAGTGTTCGAGTATGAAAAGAAGATTCCGGGAGTTGCAGAGCAACATGTGCGGATTCGGACTGCCGCGGAGGAATCATGGTATACCGCTAAAGCACATAGCGCGCATGCTCGGGGGTTGCTAGAGAGCAAAATTGGACAGGGGAGAGAAAAGTTGGAGGAATGGGTGAGAAAGGGAAATTAAGACGTAAATGCTGCACGATTATCCTTTTAAGAGAACGTCCTCAGCTTCGTTACTTTGTATCGCTGTATCTACAGCCTTTGTATATGTAGAGTCATCATTTAGACGTGAATTTCAA